GGGCTCAAGCAATCCTCCTGCCTCGACCTCTCAAGTAGCTGGGACTACAGGCATACGCCACCATGCCCAGCTAATCTTTTCCATTTTTAGTTGTTTTGGCTAATTTATTTCTATTTTTTAGTAGAGACAGGGTCTCACTCTTGCTCAGGCTGGTCTCAAACTCCTGAGCTCAAGCAATCCTGCTGCCTTGACCTCCCAGAGTGCTAGGATTACAGGAGTGAGCCACCATGCCCGGGCTAAGAGGCTGAAGCTTTTAATGCACTGCCCTCACACAAACACTTTTTATTTTAATAAATTTGTTTTGAAGATTTCATCTTTCACTTACAATTAGGTGATGATCAATTTTCTACATCCTAAATATTCTTTGGGAGCAAGATTTTGAATAGTTTCAGAAAGCGTCATAAATTATTTAACAAGTCTCTTATTGCTAGATATTTAGATTTTTTAATGTTCCCTATTTTAAATAATCTATGAGAGCAGCAGCCATTTTTAACATAAACAAATAACCTATTAGGGGGAAATCACTTTGGAAAATGAAAATACAGGGATTGAGGGGAGAGAGGTTAGTTCTCTAGGAAGGAGGAATGAAGGATGCTCTTGAATGTAGCAGAGACAGCTGGCCCTTCTGCCTGTCCTTCTCTGCACTCCTCTAACAGATGGGAGTTTAGTCTCATGATGTGTTTTGTTTCCTTCATAGGCCTTCGTTCAACTCCAAACTTATAAAAATAACTACTGGATTGGATTATCATATGATGAGAAGGACAGCAAATGGAAGTGGGTTGATAGTGGCTCGTCTCCTGGAATGTAAGTTTCTAGAGTGCATTCAAACCCTAACATTGGTGGGGGGTTGAAAGGATTGTGTCTAAGAAGAATTTTTTTCTCATTTCACACAGCTGTACTCATTTTCAAGTAGAGGTGATCAGTAAGAATAAGAGGGATGAGTAAGGAAGTGTTTCAGGAAGTGTAGTTAAAAAAGGAAGAGAAATGTCATACAGAGTTATTAGTAACAGTAAAAGAGTATGATGCTAAACAAATGCCCAGAGGTACACAAAATGAAACGAAAGCATAAAATAAGATGATATAAAGTGATTGGACCATCTTGACTTAGCGATAAGGATCTCTTCCACAACCACAAATCAGTATGCTGAGCATTGCAAAAATTCATTTGAAACTCCTTTATATAATTAGTTTATACATGTATATATGTATTTATATGTTATCTATAAATATGTATGTATACACACATATTCACTATTGTTCTATTTTGAAGTGCAGTATTATGCAAACTCTTGGGTTTACCTTTAGTTCAAATCTGCTATTAAATGGTTCATTGATTTTTTAAAAATCTTAACTATTATATTTTTTATTTCTAGCAATTCTGTTTTGTGTTTTCAGATATCCTTGCTAGTTACTCATATTTTTAAGCTGTTTTTTATTTCTGGAAAGATATTAAACATACTTATTTTACACATGATATACGATAATTCTTTTTTATTTTTGAGGGGAAGTATTTCTCTGTCACCCAGTTAGAGTGCAGTGGTGTCAACATAGCTCACAGCAACCTCAAACTCCTGGGCTCAAGCGATCCTCCTGCCTCAGCCTCCTGACTAGTTGGGACTACAGGTGTGCGCCACCAAGCCCAGCTAATTGTTTTTCCTTTTTGTGTAGAGACTGAGTCTAACTCTTGCTTAGGCTGGTCTCAACTCTTCAGCTCAAGTGTTCATCCCACCTCAGCCTCCCGGAGTGCTAGAATTACAGGTGTGAGCCACTGTGCCCGGCCCTGATAATTCTAATATTTGAAGTTTTGTGGGTCTAATCTATTATTTCTGCTGGTTTTTGTTCATGATGCCATTTTCTTTGTGGTATTTAGTGATTTATTTTTCTTTTCAAGCTGCTGTTGAAACTATTTGAGGCCTGAGATGAAGGTGGTAGCTTCCTTAAGAAAGAATTTGCTTCTGTTGGATGCCTTGGGGTGCTGTGAGTCTGGGCCGCTTTTAATTCTAAATTTAAGCCTTGCAAGTATTGTAGTTCTGGGCTGCAAACCTACAAACAATGTCATGCAGGAAATTACCTTGATGTGATTTTATCCCCCAAACACACTCCCAGAAAAACAGAAAGGCTAATAGGCCAAATTAAGATGCTCAAATCACATAGTTAATTAAATCACTTTACAACCCATAGCACAATGCAAAGGGACAGCAATAGGTTGGGTTGTTGCATGTGGGATAGCGTACGGGAGGGTGAAAGGAACACCTGAAGCCTGGGCGCTGCGGTCTCCATATTACCTGACTCTCTCTGCTGCAAACCCCTTGCTTGATGATGTGGTTGTGGTTTCTAGGGCCAAACTTGAGGTTTGAGTAAGAAGGCCCAACAGCCAGAAGGTTTTTGTGGCTGGCACACACATTTTCTCTACCCGGGAGGTGCAGAAGCATGTAAGCTTGGCCACAGCTGCAACTTTCCTATTAACCTGATAAGAAGAGATGGATTTAATTTGCATTTCTTGGGCAGAGGCCAGAATGCGTGGTGAACTGAAGACCTCATGAATGTTGAGTGTATATGTGTGCCTCATGTATATTTTTGTGTATATCGTCTACTTAGTCTTTTCTTCCTTTGTTGTCTGTGTTCAGCACACACGTGCTCTCCTTACTGTATCTCTACCTGTCTCATAGGTTACTAATTAACCTATCCATTGCTACCACACTTAACGTGTTCTACCTATGCCTTCCAAGCTATTATACTTGGCTCCATTTATCCTCCTTATTTGTTTCTTTTTTTCCTATACCAGATTTGAATATTCTTAAGTAATACAGCAAATGCAAATTACACGAGGGATGCTTTGTGATTTTGAATTCTCAGGTGGGATTATTCTTTTTCTCTTCTGCTTAAATCCAAGGTTCAAGACAGATCTAAGTGGTTTATATTGAAAATATATCCTCTTTGGGGTCTTGGCCCTATGCAGCTTGTGGAGATTCTGAATCTCCATCTCAGTGGGATTCATCTTAGCCTATTACATCAATTACAGGAAAAACTGGCTTCAATGCTTCCCTTACCCTCCTGGGTCCCCACATTTACTTAATCTTTAGCCTGAGTATGAATCTGCTTCTTATCAGTTTATAAATTTATTTTACATGGTTTAAATTTTTTTTTTATTCGGCATTTTTGTGTTCAATAGAAAGTTGGTCATGGCACCTAATCCGCCATTTTGCCGAAATACAAGTCCTGCTTTAGATATTTCTCAATGGATTGTCCTGTGTTATCTATGAGGAAAAGAAACAATAAAACAAAAACATGAAACAACCTCATTTCTGAGTTTATTCCAATTCTACTTTTTTCTCCTTGAAGTATATGCACATGAGATGTGGTTATCTGTGTCACAGAAATTCAGTTCTTTTTTTTCATCTCTCACTTTTATTGAAACAAAATTAACCTAAGAAAGCAGGTTTGGAATATCATAATCCCATTGCAATACTGTAAGGTAATTTTACCTTCTGACCAAAAATTGTCAGTGTGGAATAAAATGGGAGATTATGGGTGTGATTAAGAGGCCATGATTCTATTTAATGGACTAAGAGCAAAAGAAAATCTTTCAGTGATGAAGTTACGGTTAACACTTCCATATTCAGATGTTTAGCCAATAGAATTTTTTAAAAAATCATGATTTATGTAATTGCAAGCTTCGGAATTAAACAATTGGCCATGTATGTTTTCTTTTTTACAGTAATTTTGCAATAATGAATTTGCCTTCTGGGAGAGGACAATGTGCATTTTTATCCTCAACAAGAGTAGCAGTTATCGATTGCATTCAAACTTACAACTGTATCTGTGAAAAGAGAATTGGCCGTAGTATTTTCTCTGCTTCAGTGCGCACTGAGAAGAAAAGGTGAAAATGGAATGTTGTCTTTTTTTGTTTGCTTCCTATAATAATTTCTGATTACTTTCAAATAAATGTTTTTACTTGCAGAACTTAGTCCATTGTTGAAACAGATGAAGATGAGCTGGAAGAGAAAGGAAATGTTCTTTTGGGCTATCCCTTAAAGATCAGATATCTTTCATCCTAGGAAGAGGGGAAGATTTTGTCTTTGGAGAGCAGTTGTCCCATTTTTTAATGGCCCTGAGGAATTATTCATTCTTTCTATTTCCCTGAGTCACCTACAGAACCAATTAGAGAGCTCATAAATAGCCTGGATCTTTTCCTTATCAATAGGATAAATCGTCTCAATATCTTCTGGCTTTGATAGTTAGCACAATTAAGAACTAGGATATAGGTTTTCTTTCTTCTCATTTAGAAGCTTACCCCATCTTTTTTGGGGGGTGGGGGCAGAGTCTTGCTCTGTTACCTGGGTAGAGTGCAGTGGTGTCATCATAGCTCACAGCAACCTCAAACTTCTGAGCTCAAGTGACCCTTCTGCCTGAGCCTCTCAAGTAGCTGAGACTATAGGCACTCATCACCATGCACAGCTAATTTTTCTATTTTTTGTAGAGACGGGGGGTCTCACTCTTGCTCAGGCTAGTCTCGAACTCCCGACTTCAAGTGATCCTCTTGTCTAGCCTCCAGGAGCGCTAGAATTAGAGGCGTGAGCCACAACACCAGTCCTAGAAACTTACTTCATCTTTTTTAAAAAATTATTTTGCTATAAAATATAATTTCAAACTTACTGGAAGTTGCAAGAATAGTATAAGGAGCTCCCATATAATCTTTACCCTTAGTTACCGGTGTTTATATTTTTCTCTATCAGCTTTATAGTTTTTTCTCTCTCTTTCAATCCTTGCTGATCCATATGATAATAAATTGAGGACTTCAAGTCCCTTTGTCTGAATATTTCCCAAGAACAAGGGCTTTTTCTTATATAACCATACTGCATTTATCAAAATCAGGAAATTTAGTATTGAAAGGGTACTATGATCTAATCTATAATTCATGTTCAAATTTTGTCAATTGTCTTAATAATGCCCTTTATAAGTATTCTTTTTCCATGTTCGGGATCATGCAATGGATTTAATTGTGGTATCTCTTTAGTTTCCCTTAATCTGTTAAGGTCAGGAGAAAAAAAGAGTTCTTGAGGCTTTCTTTGTTTTTCTTAATCATAACATTTTAAAAATTAACTTTATTGAGTTATATGTTGCATACAATAAAATGCACACACTTTAAGTCATGAGTCATATGGTTTTAAGAGACACATACACCTCTTACACACTATCAAATGCATATATAAAACATTTCCATCACCTCCAAGAAGTTCCTTCTGCCCCTCACCATCAAGTTGACCCCAGGCAACCAGGGACATGCTTTCTATAAATTAGTTTTGCCTATTCTAGAATTTCATGCATAATGTACTCTTTTATATTTGGCTTTTTTTTGCTCAGCATATTTTTGAAATTAATCCATTTCTTTGTGTGTGTGTGTGTGTGTATGTGTATCAGTGGTTTATTCTTTTTGTTATGAGATACTATTGTATTATACAAATATACTACAATTTGTTCATTCACCTGTGGACATTTGATGTGTTTCCAATTTTTAGTTATTATGAATAAAGTTGTCATGAACATTTGTGTGCACATCTCTGTGTGGATATATATTTTCATTTATTTTTAGTAAATACCTAGAAACCTGCTTGCTGGGTCCCATGGTGCATGTTTCTCCCATCCAAGTACTAACCAGGCCCAACCCTGCTTAGCTTCCTAGATCAGATGATACCGGGTACGTTCAGGGCGGTATGGACGTAGACCATGTTTTCTTTTATAAGAAAATTATAAACTGTTTTCCAGTGTGGTTGCATCATTTTACTTTCCCTGTATAAACATATGAGAGTTCCAGTTGCTCCTCATCATTGCCAACACTTGATATTGTCAGTCTTTTTAATTTTAGCCATTATGGTGGATATGTAGTGGTATCTCATTGTGATTTTACTTTTTTTAATTAATTAATTAATTTTTTTGGATTGCCCTGAGTCATACTCCATTGCCCTTAGTAGAGTGCCCTGGCATCAGCCTAGCTCATAGCAACCTCAAACTCCTGGGTTCAAGCAATCCTCCTGCTTCAGCCTCCCAAGTAGTTGGGACTACAGGCGCACACATGACACCTGGCTAATTTTTCTATTTTTAGTATAGATGGGGTCTTGCACTTGCCCAGGCTGGTCTCGAACTCCTGAGCTCAAGCAATCCTCCCTCCTCAACCTCCCAGACTGCTAGGATTATAGGTGTGCCCAGCCATCTTATTATGATTTTAGTTTGCATTTTCCTCAAGATTTGAATCCACAGATTTGGAACCCATGGAGACAGGGCTAATTGTATTTACAATTATTATATTCTCTTGCTGAATTGATCCCTTTATCATTATACAATGACCATCTTTGTCTCTTTTTATAATTTTTGACTTTAAGTCTATTTTATCTGATGTAAGTATAGATACTCCTGTTCCTTTTGGTCTACATTTACATGGAATATCATTTTCCATCCCTTCACTTTCAGTCTATGTGTATCCTTATAGGTGAAGTGATTCTGTTATGGGCGACATATAGTTGGGTCTTGTGTTTTTTTTTTTTCAAATCCATCAGCCACCCTATATCTTTTAATTGGAGAATTTAATCTATTCACATTCAAAGTTATTATTAATAGGTGAGGACTTACTCCTGCCCCTCTGTTACTGTTTTCTGGTTGTTTTTGTAGATCCTTTGGTCTTTTATTCCTCTCTTACTGTTTACTTTGTGATTTTGTGGTTTTCTGTGGTGCTAAGCTTTGATTCCTTTCTCTTTTTCCTTTGTGAATCTGCTGTAATTTCTTTCTTTGTGGTTGTCATGGGGCTAACATGGGGTCTTGTAGTAGCGATAGACTTTTAAGCTGATAATAACTTAGCTTTGATCACATAAAAATACTCTAGGCTTTTCCCCTCCACCCTCACAATTTATATTTCTGTTGCCTTAATTTTCATCTTTATATAGCATATATTCCTTGACCACTAATTGTAGCTGTTGTCATTTTTGACCATTTTGACTTTTAACCTTCATACTAGAGATCTGATCAATTTCCATAGCATAATTACAGTACTAGAGTATTCTGAGTTTGATTGTGAATTTTCCTTTATTAGTGAGTTTTATACTTTCATATATTTTCATGATAGTATTTTTTTTTAAAGTTTGCTTATCTGTCTTTTTAAAATTTTCTGTAGTTAATCTGTAATAAGAAGATATGACAATAACTTAAACAGATTAATTTAGCAACAGGAATAAAAGTGATTTGTCCAGCTAAGGATCCCTTCCTTGAAGCACTAAGATAATCAGTAAATATATTGATACATATATTAAAGAATGCTTTAGTATTCTGTTTATTGTTTTCTAGGATGGATATTGACTGTTTTAGAATAATTTCAATTATTAATAGAGATTTTCTAACTAACCTTTATGCATGCTTGTATCAAACTATATATTAAATTTGATTATTAAGGGATTCATTTTTTTTTAGTTCAAGTGAAAGTCATATAACATAAAATTAACCATTTTAAAGCAAACAATTCAGTGATATTTAGTACATTTACAATATTGTACAATCATCATTTCTTTCTAGTTCCAAATCATTTTCATGACTCCCAAAGGAGACCCCCATATCAATTAAGCAGTCACTCCCCATTTTCCCATCACCTCAGCCCCTGGAAACCATTAATACACTTTCTATCTCTACAGATCTACCTGGACATTTCATATAAACGGAACCATACAAATGTGAGCCCCTGCCTCTTGCCTCTCCCACCCAACACAATGTCTCTGAGCCTCCTCCACATTGCATGCGTCAATACTTTTTATAGCCTTTTGTAGCTGAATAATATGTCATTGTATGGATATATCACACTCTGTTTACTCATTCATTTGCTGATGGACATTTGGGTTGTCTCCACCCCCTGGCCACTGTGAATAGTTACACAAATTAGGAATGCAGGATATATGCAGGGCTTGACCATATGGCAAGTTTCCACCAATAAGAGACAAGAAGCAAGAAAGTGGCTCCAACCTGGTGGACTGTTTGGAGATGCCATGTTTGTGTAAGGTCTCCTCAGAGATGTTCTCTGTGTGAATGAGTGAAAAACTCTCTTTTCTTGTGAAGCTTTGGCCAGCCTGAAAACATATGTCTTGTTCTTCCTTTTCCTTCTTTCCTGACTCATTTCCCTTTTCTTGTGGCTTTTACTTTTGCTTCCTTTGGATTCACTCCCTCTCCCCATTAGGTGTTTTCTTGTAATATTTGCCCGAGGCTCTGTTTTCAGTGGAACCCTGGGCTAAGACGGTGCTCACTAATAAAAGGCAGGCTTGTAGCCATCCAGGGGAATTTGCTGTGAGGATTGGTCCACATCATATAATAATGTTTACGATATAATAGCAGGGAGAATTCTATATTATCTTCAGTCCCTTCATTGGGATCCAAACCATACTAGAGAGGAAGTATAGGAATAGCTGGCCTCATGCTATCTTATACCTGCTTTGGAAGTGAGAACTCAAATCTCTTTCCTATAAAATGTTTCCTTATTTGTCTTGCTACCATTGACTTGTCAAATTATTTAGGGAGTTAAAATTTAATCATGAATTATTAAAAAGTATTAGTGAAAAGCCTGTTGAATGTAGGAGTGCTAATAATATGTGACCATCAGATATACATAGAAAGCAGATCATCTGTGTTGTGAATGGATACGGAGTGTCTAGAAGGTATAAATTATGGTATTTTTTGTATAAGAGAAGGAGATAAAGGAAAGGCCATGTCAAGGAGGCTGGATATTGCCCATTATCTGAAGCTGCAAAGCTGAGACTCACAAGTGATTCCCTACACTTTAGTTTGGATAGTGCAGAGGTGTAAGATGGAGGTATCATGCTCAGGCCTCTGTTCTGGAGGATGGCCCTCAGTG